TAAAATCAGTAGGGAGCAACAAGTATAGGTGATATGATCCATTGCTGATGTGAACTTGGATAATTTCATTAGCCATTTGATTTAAATTCATCTGCTTCAAAATAAGAAAAACACTTTACAGTGATCTTATGTGATATGTTCAGCTTATGCTTTGAGTACATGCAAAATCCTGTGTGATCTTATGTGATATGTTCAGCTTATGCTTTGAGTACATGCAAAATCCTGTCAAAATAATATTGATATAATAAAACACTGTTCAATTCCACACTGCAAGCTATGTCTAAGGCATGTACTGGCTCAAAATCATGTTCACAGCAGTCCAAATGTCTGTGTAGAAACATGTATTTGATGCACAACAAACCTTTGTGCAAGTGACACAAGGCAAGGCTTTGAGATAAAATTCCATTAGGCCATTTTTAGTAATCACTTAGAATACATATGAATACAGTTCTGTTATGGGAAACAAAGAGCCGTATGAAGTATTTATCTCACTCATATGAATATATTATATTCAAGGTAAAGACCTTGATGAATAATCTTAAATGTCTGCAAAGCTGTACACTTTGTGAACGATTCATTCTTTTTAATGGCGATACAGACATTCTGACAGCTTTGTTCTAGAACATGGCCCATATATTCAGGAAAAAAAGGGGATGATATATAAATTAGTTTATAGTTTTCTCTACTCAGTAGCATGATGGTGCTTGATCTGAAGATCTACATATGTTGTAAAGCAGGGGTGCCCAACCAGTCGATCCCAGAGTGCTTCCCAGTCGATGGATTGCAAGAATGTTTGGCCAAAAATAAATGGGCTATTTGACTGTTTCTTTTTTTGACAGCCTAAAAATTAATTCAGATCTGTGCATGTAATGTCATACATTTTACTGCCCTTGTATGTGTTTAACTCTTGTTGAATGGGTTGTAAAACTCTTCCCCGGAGTGCTGGCTGACACTGGAAAAATGGCTACAGGAGCTCCATAATAAAGAGTGTCATGTGTGCTACCCAAGAACGGTCTCTTGGTATTTGCCACACGAACCCCACATTCGCTACAGTGCATCGTGGAGTGAAACAAACTAGCCGTGATAAATTCGCCAACAGTTTGATAAGTTTGATTGCCTATTTGATTGTAGTATTTGAGCAAAAATGAAGCAAAGAGACCAAAAACTTACCTTTACCACAAGGAATGGGAGCATGATTTTTTTTTGTACTATCGCATTCAAATATGTGATGCTAGTGTCTAAGTGAAAAACGGAAATATAGAACAACATTTCAAAACTGCACACAAAACGTGTGATGTGGTCTTTCTCGCTAATAGTGAGTTATGGAAAAGAAAAGTGGAAAAATTAAAATCTCAACTAGCAGCAGTTGGTTTTCACGAGTTTTCATGAGGCCTAATACAAGAAGGAAAGCGCAATCATCGCATCGTTCTGTGTGAACCACGTCCTGGCTAAACACAAAAAATCATTCAGGGATCGAGAAGTATTAAAAAAGTGTTTGCTTAAGGCTGCTGACTTGGCTATTTGGAAATTTCAAAAACAAACATTTTTGGCGAAGTTCAGACAGCTGGAAATCAAAGAGTTTCTCAAGTCATCTAAACATGGTGAAAATGCCTAATTGGAGGATGACCAGTGGCTTCTGGATTTAGCATTCCTCACAGACTTGACTGAACTGCTGAATGTCATGCTGCAGGGACAAAATAAAAATGTAAACAACATGATCAGCAGTGTCAACACATTCAAATTACAAATGTTCTCAAGTAAGCTTCTCAGTGCGTGCTCACTTTAAGGTAGGGTATTCTTTTTTCTAAAATGGGGAACTTGTTCACTGTAGCATGAGTCACTTGCTTTTATTTGCTGTCATTTTAGTGATGGGTATCGTTATTGTACTGATGTGTCCACAGTCTGTTTTTCCTACAGTATATCAGAGCTTCAAATTCACACTGGTAGATTACACTGGACTGGCAAATGAAAAAGTAGATCTTACATTAAAAAAGGTTGGGCACCCCTGATGTACAGTATGTTTATGTGTAATTGCAACCCAATGTAACCTTTAACAGCATGGGTGAAGTATTCAGATTTGAGTAACACTAGTATTAGTAAAACCTATAAATATATTGCATTACAGCACATGAAAAGCTCTCTTTGATTAATTAAACTCAGCTTTGTATGAAGAGCAAAATGTGTATGTCAGAGTGTAAGAGCTTCAGTACAAGAACTTGTTATTAACTTGATCTTTAAGTTCTCTGAAAGCCAAAAATGTTACACACAGTTACAGTTCTTTTTATCAACAAAGGTCTGACAATTTAAGCTTCAAATGTTAATGTTGTTGCAACAGAGTGATCTTAATTTAAGTAAAATAATTTTTGGAACATAAACTCTAATACCAAAAACATGGGAAATTGTGCTTGTGTGAATATTTTCAGATTTCCCTGTTTCCCCATTTACACAGGTAAAATAGACTTCCATAACAACATCGGTGAATGAAAGACTCCATAGCGCACAACAAACTTAAATTTCTTAGAAGCACATCTTTCCATATCATTAGGTTCCTAAGAACCAGATAATTCAGTTAACACATGTTTTGCTTATGAGAAACCGTTTTTCTGTTAAAAAAATTAGAATATGTAAAAATGGTCAGGGTCACCTCAAAGGCCTTCTTTAGAAGACTAAATCTGAAATTATACCTTGCAGCAGAAACTGGCAGACTCAGCATTCTCAGAAAGGTTGGCTTCTGATAGACCAGCCTGCTCCAAGACATTCATCTTCCCTTGGATCATGGGCCTGGGATGAGGAGGGAGACAGAAAGGGATAAAAGAAAGCATTATTCCAGCTGCTGACTCCTGCTGATCCTACAAAGAAAAATATCCTGAAGCTAGCTCAACAGAAACCTGAATGTATGCACTAGTTTGTAATTACCAGAGGTAGTCATCCGCAGTCCCTTTGGCCACCAAGTAGTGAATGTTAACGCTGCTGGTCTGTCCGATACGGTGGACTCGATCTTCTGCCTGGATCAGGACCTGAAGGATAAGACACAAGCTTTAGGTACAGCATCTGCTTAATTAGGCTAACAACAATACTTATGTCAAAGCTGTAATAACAATGTGTTAAAATTAACACATTTTCTAAATTGCAATGAACTTCTATTGAGCATGGGCAAAGAACTTCTTGTTTGCTATACAAGGTGAAAGTGGACCATCTTCAATGCAATGTAGCGGTATATGAAGAAACAGATAACCTAAAGAGTCCAGCGGTATAAGGGACAGGCATACTATGTTCTCCAGTTAAGAATCTAAAATAAATTCTCAAGATAATGGATTTGAGTGAAACTTGGTGAAAACTAGCCATGATATTTGATTCTTTTTAAAGCACAAACATACTGCAAACTGAAGAATGTTGTTTTTATTATTGTGAACTACAGGGTCAATAGTTAAAGACTGAATATCTGTAAGATAAGATGAGGATATATCACAATATCAAACCATTCACATTCTTTATTTCAGAAGCAAATTATTTTAAGAACCATGGAAGTAAAACTTAGCCAGCTACAGTCTCTGCAAACCCACCAACATCACTTCAGATATCTTAAAATGTAACAGCAGAAAACTTATGAATGCAATTATATAAACTTGTTTATAATATGAAGACATGTTTTCTAAACCCAACACCGTTCTGAAACAAAACAAGAGGCTTACAATAGTTATTACACAAAATACCAAACTGAGACCCACAAGATTGAACAGTAACCGGTTATGCAAAAAAGGTACTGTACAGTATGTGAGTGTCAGGTGAAGATTGCTTGTATGCTGCTATATTAAGGATCTATATCAAGCTAGGCTTAAGTTAACATAATTATATTTTTTTTAAATTAAGAACTGGAACCCCTTTTATTTTTTTACTAACCTCCTCAATTACTTCAATTCTGAATCATCCCGTTTCTAAAAATCACTCTTAATCATTTTATTTTTTTGACTGGGTAAACTGTATCTTTTGCAGTTGCAGTTGTTTCAGAAACTATTGTGTGTACAGTCATAGTTACAGCTTACAAATACAGCCAATATGGGAATACGCAGCAAGGGAGATAGTAATACTATTCTCACAAAATGTTATCTTGTAAGTTTTGCTGAATTGCCCATTTGTTTTTTAATGTGGGCATACAGTATACAATAGTATGGGGGGCAACAATAATAGTGAACTAACTAACTAACTAACTAACTAACTAACTAACTAACTAACTAACACAATTCAGATGTGAACAAGAAACTTTTTCTAAGTGACTACTGTATATTTCTACATTAGATCCAGGGCCAGATTTGTGTCTATACTAACTTACAAAGTATTCATTCCCTCTAGAATGTTCACATTAAGTTACCACTAGAGCATGCAATCATGACACTACTAAATACGAATTTATATTTTGAATCTAAATTTATAAAGGCAGAATATGCTGATGGCATGTAAAGAAAATTATAAGGTTCTCAATTGCATAAGTATGCAACACCTTTGTCATGGCAACACAATCATTTCTGGTGCAAAGGTTTTGTTTGAAAGATCACAAAACCAGGGTGGTTTCTGTGAATTCAAAGTAACTAGCAACTGTAGTGCCAAGTTACATTCCCTCAATCTGAGGAATAAACTAATAATCCATCCTTGCAATGGAGATGAACACAACATTAATGGAGACACACTGGAGGGAGTTCTGGAGGGGCAGAAAAGACTGAAGAGATGGAGATGAAACACCATTCAAAGAAAGTCTCAGGAACACTAGGGAAATCAAGAGTCTCAGATTCTGTATGGATCAGAGATGTAAAAAAAACATTTGAAAGGTTTTGTGTTAGGACAATACTTTATACCACCAAAAAGGAGAAAATATAGAACTCAAGGAAGAAGCAGAAATCTGTCTGCTCTTCAGAAACACACTGTGAATTGAAATTAATGGGACGGATAAATAACTAATTGCAATTGAAAGTCTTCAAGATTAACTAGAGGTCCATTTCTAATAAAACAACCACTTTTACTTCATTTGAAAAACCTCTATGTGGTTTGGTATGTTAATTCTCAAACCTCTTTGAATAAATAGCTAACTTTGCTGGAAACAGAGTGTGCCTAGAAGCCAGCATGAAAGGAAACAAACACCAGCTGTTCTTCAACTGCACTCACATCTGCTTGGGGCTCTTCATGGAGTGTAAATCATCATCATTATCATACCAAGGGCCACTTCACATTAAATAAATTGCGTGAGCAGGGTATTATCCTAAAGAATGTGTTTGGTACACATGTGAAAACAAAAATGTCTTATATAAAACATTATATAAAAAGTTATATATACAGTATGAAAAACTGAGTAAGCATGTGTAACCCTTAAAAAATGAGGTGACAGATTAGAGGTGCCAAAATGCAGATTTCACTGCCAGTAACAGAACATGGTATGAGTTTGAAAGATTAATTTTAAGAATATCCCACAGTATATCCTGCTATATATTTAAGTATATCTTTGCTAAGATTCTCACTACAATACAGTGGGAGTCAGTCTTACCCCTGGGTTCCAAAAAAGCTCAGCAAAGACCACCAGATCAGCAGATGAAAGTGTCAGTCCCATGTTGGCAGCAGTAATGGAGAGCACTGCCACACAGCTCTTTGTAGAGTACTGGAAGTGTTGACAGAGGCTCTGTCTATCTGCTGAGGATGTAGAGCCATCAATTCTGATATAGCTGATCCCCTGGAAGGGACAAAGAGATAAAGTTAACTAATAATGAGAATACTCTCTGCTGGAGGGTTTGGATATAGACAAAAAGGGAAGTGGGTGAGAGAGATTGAGTTAGAGGGATAAATTACATGGCTAAGAGAGATATCAATCCTTGAGAAGGGTAGCAAGAAATATGTAAATGCCAGACATTAGAAACTAAACCTTGAAGACAAATTAGACTCAGCAAAGAAAAAACAAAATACAAAGGATCAGAACTTTCTGCAGCCTCAATGCGGACAGAAGACCACTGTCCTAAGCAAAAGTCTGCATTTTGCAGAAATGTGCCTCTTTTTCTGAAGATCCTATGTTTATATTTAAGAAGCTGCAGTATCTGAATCTATGGTAAGCATGTCAGTGTTAAAACAAATTCCTCAAAGTCTTTCTTAGCTGCTGTCAGACTTGTTTCCATTCACACTAATACTCTGCTCTCACCTTATCTCCCAGTTCTTTCGTTAAGCTGTCAAGAACAAGCTTATGGTGTGCAAAAACCAGGAACTTCTCTCGGCCGCTTTCCAGTAGATCTATAACATACTCCCTGGAAGTACAAATGAAACAGATATAAAATGAAGATACACAGGGAGCATCCTGAATGCTGGTACTTCCTATGTCTTAATTTAAAATTAAAGGAAACTAGATTAAAACCGTACATGACATTTCTGAAAAACTGACTAATCATTAAAGTCCAAAAAAAGCTTGTATTCAAAGTTTATGACTCAATAAAGGCAGCAGGTTATTAAAACAAGTGTGTAGTTTGGAACTAAAAGTCCTCCAGTTAAAAGATTAAACTTTCCAAGGTTTGATACTGATTGTAAATCAGAAATTGTCAAATGTCTATCACTTGTACAGTATCACTTGTAAAAAAAAAACAAAAACAGAAAAAGGATAATCCTTAATTGAATGTGGGAATAAAACAGAGAAATTTCCCTGATTAAAATGAAATGCTAAAAGGTATTTTTCAGTTATTAACTCATTTATACAGTAATTTTTCCACATGGCCATAACCATCAATAATTAATTGTTTACATTTTAGGTATAAACTGTGCAATTTAAACATTTTACAGCATTTACATATTCAGTTCACTATTTATATATAAATTAGCAATCAAAGCTGAAAATAAGAAATCTATTTAAAATATTAATTATTTATTAAATTATGTGTGTAGAAGTGGTAAATAAATTAATTTCAATAACTGACATATTCTGAAATTCTACTGAACCAAATGTATTAATTAACAGAGATGCATGATTGGACAAATGTCAGTAATCATATGCACCAAATGTTTTACATTTACACACAATTTGCAGTCACTGTATGATTAATTGAGATGATTAAAATAAAGCAATGGGATGATTGTTAATGATGGCTCAATTGGTTGCTTTACAAAGAGGCTATATTAGCATCTTGTGGTAGAAATACAGGGTACTAGAAATACCAAGTTGAGTTCTATAATGCATACAGTATCTATTTTGTGATGCATTTTATTTTATAGCTTCACATTAATTCGTCACTGGGTCTACACTCACACAATGGCCCGGATTTTTGCCTCTGCAGTACGATTGTAGAAGATCAATAGAGCTTCCTTCTCTTGCTGCTTCTGCAGATTTAAAATAATTTTTATGTTAATATGCCAAAATCTGAAAGGAAACAAAACAATCCATGATACAGGCAATACAGACTTACTAGCATGACGTAAACAGCCAAAGATGAAACCCTTTTCACAAACCTTAAAAATCTTGGTTTAAAAAACTACTCTTTTATTCATATAACTATGAATATACGGGAAAGTTAATGCAGTTAAGTTAAGGCAATTTTCATGAACATACAGTATTTGTTTTGCTGTTTCAATACTTAGCAACTCTAGTATGTTTTGCTCACAGTGGTTTCATTTAGAGGGATCACTCTCATGCAGGCTTGGTTATATTTACTAGCCATAAATCTCTACCAGAGGCCAGTTTCTTTCTTTTCTGATGAAATAGCTCAGCTCAGAATAGCTCAGAAGATATGCTGGGTGTAAGTTTGTGAGAACACAACTTTTAATCATAAAAATTAAGTCTAATGGATGTTAAAATAAGTAGAAATACAGAATGCAGAATTACTTTTTTGTACCCAAACTGGTATGTCAACCTGCTTTTGAGCACAGTTTCTCACTGTATTTCATTAGATACGCATACAGCTGTCCTTCAAGTGATGGAGTACCCTGTCCAGAGTCAAGACATCAATATCACTGAAGCGCAAAGGGAGGGCCTGCTTGGTGAGAAGGCCAAGGCCATGGCTGAAGTCTGGAAGGGGCTGAAAGCATTCCCCAACATAGTATAACAACGGCAAGGACAGAATCCAACCTGCCATGCCTTCTGATTGATTGTGAAACATGAAATTTATGTTGGACACAAAAGATTAGTGTCAAATATTTTATACATGCACAATTAGATAGACAGATACTTTATTGATCTCGTGAGGGAAAGTACAGTGTGGGATACACTCCTATTGTGTATTAATCCAAAACTAAAAAGAATAACTTTTATTTAGATGTGCATACTTGATGACCCATGGTTACTCTTTATAGCTGCCACCCAAAATCACACTAAGGCATGCCCAACGTACATTTCTGTGCCCTTTGGCCATCTCCTTGGCGGCAGCCGCCAGCGCAGCCTTGGCCCGGGCAGCGATCCCGTCGGTGGTCACAGTTACCACCTTGCGCTGCTTGGCGGGGAGCTGAGAGAGCACGTCGGATTTGAGGCGGCGCAGCATCACTGACTCTTCCAGCAGGAGCCTCAGCTCGCCCAGGTTAGAGGAGCCCGAGTAATCCCAGCCCCAGGGAAGCTGTGGCAAGTGAAGAGCAGAGATGCATGTTAGTCAGCAAGATGTCCTGATCTTTCACCCAACCTGCACGAAACAATTCCTTTCAGTAGTGGATGGTGAGCTTTTACTGATCAATTTGTCACTAGATCACTTGGATTAATTACAGTACATTCAACAATGAATGGTTCTGTTTAACTGATTAAATCTTCACTGAATATTTTACTCTTTGAATCTACATTCATGTTTTACTTCTGAGGATCGAACAAGAAACTTCAAAGCTGGCAAATATTTTGAGCATTCCAACAATGAAGCAATCAAATTAAACTGTTTTTCTTTTAAATGTACTTTTTCCCCCCATTACTAAATTATGCTGTTGCTTACTTATTAATATATGCATCCAAAGAAACTTGGGAAAAATCAAAGGCTATATTTTAAAAATATTTTCAGCTTAAGAGAATTCTCTAAAGAAAAATTATTTCATTACACAATCAAAACTATTCCATCAATCAGTAAAGCTTTATCTGAGTATCATTCATTTTTGTTGTGCAACAGTGTTGAAAATAAAGGCTTATAAATCTAGGTAATTAAAGAAAGACTCCACAGCCTTATTATGACAGAGTCTTTTATTGCTACTGCTGCTAATTGGCTATTGGAAAACCACCCCAGGGGCTGTGATTCAATTGCTGCTATAAAGCAAAGACTAAGAAATGTTCGTGTACACCAATGCCCTTTTCTTTAGGCTGTGTAACTTTTAGACTTTAATTTGAATAAGAATTTAGGAGAATGTGATGTGCCAGCTTTATAATATAAACAGCTGTGCAAAGGTCTTTAAATTAAGCATGTTTCTTCTCTTTTCACTGATTGTCTTTCCTTTACACAGAAACAATTCTATGGTGATCTTCCATTGCGACTGAGCTTTTTCTTTTAAAATTGTTCATTTATTGTAGTACAAAAAATATTTACTGTAGCTCTACAGATTTCTGGAAAGGAAAATATGTTAATGAGGAGGAACACCTGACAATCAATTACACTTGAGTGGTAAATGTCATAGATTAGCTATTACAACACTTCACATAGGCTGCACATATGCAGTTTCGCTACTGCTGCTGTCAATTTGTGAGAGATTAATATGAATCAAATGACAAGATTTTCTCAAGAGAAGTAACAGTTTCAGCTCCATACAAAACTGAATTATAGTAGTCTTGTCTGGTGGATTAAACCCCTCACAAAGGCAACCCAAACATGCCCCAAACTCTCCAATTAGAATGAAATTTTTAACTCTCCAAGAAGTAAAAACATGAAACTGTACGTATATATAACTTTAGTGGATAAAACAGCAGTTCTGTTAGTCTGGAATGTATAACCTGTATCTACAGAACTTTCATGCTACCTTCCGGCATAAAACTTGCAATTGCTATAAACACTGTCATATTATTACTGTCAAGAGGAGAATAAATGAAAAACATGCCTGTTTGGCATCACAATAGCGTGCCCCAAACTCATGGAACCGTGGAAAGAAGGAGGGTCGCACAGCCAGGATCTGCGTGTAGAGTTCTGCTGGTCTGGACATGGCTGGAGTGCCTGAGAGAAGGATCACCCTTTTGGCAACCTGATAGGAACAGTCACTCCAAGAGCATGAACATCCTGAGTGAGATTGCTTACTTGTTTTGGTCTTGGAGAGAGAAGATTAGTAAGTCATCTTTAAATAATCTATCACTACAGAGACAAAAATACTGGCAACTTTGGCAAGTGATTTAGCAAGCTAATTTTATCACTTGGAATGCAATTATGGGTATTTTACAGGCTTTCACATCCACAGCTGTCCACTTCTGACTGAAGGGAACAGTTTTCTTATTAAATAGATGATAAGTTAAATTTCTTCAAAGCCTTTAAAAATGGCCTATTTTAAAGAGTGGCCTAGAAAAACTGCTGAACTGTTACTCCCTAGGTTCAGCATTGGCCTGCGTGCAGCCTTTTTATTTTTATGTCTGACACTGTAAGGAAAATCTGTATCAGATGAGACATCTTATTTACAAGGCTCAGGGCTTATTTAATGTCATTACAGAATATTTTAAAAAAAGATCTGTTGTAAGAGGACCAGAGGAAGGGTAATCCAGGACAAGTATTTTAGGAACGATCTGCTCACTATACTTGACCAAGATGGCCGCTAAGAGAAACCAGCTGACCCGCAGATGGAAAGGGCTCAGTCTGAAAGACAACGAGACGCAGGTGGGTCTCATCAGGAAACAAAATATATACAGTATGCCCTGGAAACAGTGAAGTGGTGCGGAAGCCAGTAGGTGAATGTGTTTTGGAGGAGATAGTGGAGTTCGGTTGGTGTGGATACAGATTTAAGGATAACAGATTTTTGGAATAAATAAAGGATTATGGTTTGTGATTTGGATACGGTGCGGATTTGTGGGACTTTACGGACTTTTGGAACTTGGACTGATTAAGGATAGAGAGAGTGGATTGCGGACTGGCTTGGAAGACGGACAAATGGGAGGAAGGGAGAAAACTTCCCGAAAATAAGAGAGTGTGTGGTGTGAGTACTTTTGTACCTATTACATAAACCTTTTCCCCGGAGGCACCACACTGTAAACAAGCTATTATGCAAGTCAAGCCATTAAAGATAATAGAACCAAATCTAAAGATTAACACGTGGATATGGATTTAAGAAATTTTAACCAATGATCATGACAAGTTCAGATTGGAGAGAAAGCATAGATATCTTTTCCGCAGAATGAAAAGACAAACTAAAGTACCTAGTGCTTCCTTTATTTCTGATTTTTTGGTAATACAAAACAAAGAAAATCAGGTAACTATAACAAAACGGACAGTATAAAACTAATACAATATTAGTAATCAGTTAATATGGAACTGTAGTGGCGAGGCTTATTAATAAGGCAGAATTAAGTGTTTCTGAGCTTCCCAAATGAGGCCCCATTTCTCTGTTCATCTCTGTGGTGCAGCCACAGAGAGACCATTAGTGCAGGGTGATTTAAGGTCCTAGGATAGCTCCCAAAGGGGGATGCACTTAGCTAAGCCTGGCTATCATGATCAATGGTCATCCATTGGTGCCTATCTGTCTAGGGAGTGCCAGTTGGACATCTGGACTGCATTCCTAAGTGTCAGGAGTAAGTGACTCATATCTCACCTTGATCAACCAATCAGGGACTGGTAGGGCCGAGTAACCCACGTGGGACTCTGATGCCCATGGAACTTTCAGTCAATCAACGAGCTGAAGTTTCTCCAGGTAAAAACAGGCAACACAGAGAGCCTGGGAGTTTCAGTAAGATTCAGAGGGAATTTTGAGACTTTTCTAAAGGGAATTCAAAGGAGAATTCCAGGGCAGGACGGCCCAGGAGCAGAAGGCTCCCAAGGGCAGGACATTCTCGCAGCGCGCCTCCTGACCATCCTGAGACAACCACGGAACGGCCAGTGTGTCCGAGTGCCAGAACTTTCCTTTGTTCTAAGAGTCTAGAGCGGAGGTTGCCAGGGAGTAACCAGAGGATCCACCCGAGGTTAGCACCAGCAGCAGGCCTCGTGAACATGTCGGAACTGTGGACAGCTGAATCACTATTCAGAACTAGCTCTTCATCAGGAACGAACCGGTCCTCTTCCTGACTTGCTGGGACCCACAGTCATCTTTTCTCCTGTGCACAAACTTTGCTAGTTAAAGCCAACACTAACTAGCCGGCCAGTGAGCATCAGCAGCACACCGTCGCAAGCCGCACAGCACAGCCTGGCTCCGAACCAGAGAGCGCGGATTGGACAGCAACAGCCTGCAACTGTTTCTTTGAGTCGCAGGAGATCTGAATCCCCAGAGATTGGATGAGTATTCATCCAGTATTCAACTTCAATGCATTACAGCTTGAGAATTCAATTGTTATCCCAACCAGTTGATATCAATTTAATTCCTAAGAGTTATGTACTTGTTTTGAGTATCTAATGTAGAAGTTATAACCAAGTTCATTTATGAAACGGTCTAAATAAATGATATACTGAACGTATGTCCTCTTGATGTGTAACACTTCGTAACTGACTGAATATATACCTTTTGTATTCTGATAACCCTCTCGATAAGATCTGTTAGGTTTATATGCATATTTTATGTATTAATAAATGTATCCTCGTGTATTAGTACCTGTGTGTGTGCGTTGTTTGAGTTATGTCGCACGGTTGGATTCTAAAGCCATCAAAAGAATCAACTTTGTGATTTACTGATACAATTAATAATTGTTCCAGTAAATGCCCAAACCCTACAGAACTGGTGCCTTCAGAGAGCCACTACATTTACATTTTGGCTATGGCAACATTACAGAACTATGATACGCTATTTGAAGCATTAAACTGTTGTATTTTGTGGCCATACTTCAGTGTCTTGCTCTTCAATAAAAACATCAAACATCAATGCATTTTTTAAAATGCATTGGCTTTAAAAAGCTTATTGTCAATACATATGCTTTAGTTTACATAAAGAAACAAGATTACTCATAAAAGAGGGTTTCGAGTGAGCTATATTTTTGCCACCATAAGGTAAGTTTAATAAAATCTTTTAGACAACTACAGGATTTTATAAACATATAATGTTGAAAACATCAATCCTCATCAAAGACATCAACATCAATCCTGATGTTATTTTGTGCATAATAAATGTTTCTTCTGAAACAAAACAGAAAGTTATCAAACCATTATTAGACAGTATTGCAATAAAATAAGTTATCCAGAGCATGGCTCCATTACTCTACATGGTAATAAACAGAGGGAGAGTCTTCAAAGAAAGGGAAATAAATCAGCAGTACCTTAAGGAGAGGCAGAGCAGCTTTGCAGCGAGCAGTCTTCATGTTTTTGAGAAAATGGGATTCATCCTGCAGCCAGAAAAAACACTATTATGAAAAGACAAAACAATAACTTAACTGTTGGCTGATAGCTATTAACCTTAGCATCAAATATTAACATAAACTTCTTTTCAGAAATTCTTGGATATTGCTGTGCAGAGTTCAGTTAGTTTAACGACCACTGTATTGTATTTTCACACTTTGTTTTCTCTCCCCTACTTCTTCTGAAACAACGAAAACACTGAAAGAATGTCATTCACAACAAAAAAGATACAAGATGCCTGAAATAGAAAGCAAAAATCATGAGGAGAAATCAAAGACTGAACACTCAAACTGTGAGCTGACTGGATGGATCTGAGCCAGGGATAGGATGACCTGGTTGTATTCCTGAACAAAGAAATCCTTAAGTGGTTTCCAATACTGGCACAACAGGACTTATTCAAGAATATGAGAAAGATTCTGAGAATTTCATACACTTGCTTCTTGAAAAAAGCCAGGGGATCAATCCCAATAACAAATGTGCCCTGTGATATGTTTTTTGTCTACTTTAGAAAATTGTAAATACCTGACTCAAGTAACCTATGTAAAGTGTGAAGTATTGGGGCCCAAAATTATAGACAACATCCCTCTATTGTAGAGCCCTCATTTCTTATCTATGAATTGTTTCTTGCCCATTAACTACTTGTAATTATTTATCCAAAAACGTGTATTATCTTGAATACCTGCCATTCATATTGTAGTATGATAGCAGATAGAGTACTTTTTTTTCAGTTTTCTCCAGTTTACTGACAGACAGAGCTCCTTTTTGAAAGAACCTAAAGCCCTCTTTGTTCAGCAAACAGCTCCATGCTACACTTCTAGCTGGATTACATTCCAGCCCAGCAGAGAAGCAGATCTGCAAGCGTGAGGAAATCAGTGAGGGATCCAATCCTGCCTCGTGAACCCACAGCATCATCCACATCAGTGCCAGGGACACGTTCTTCTTACAATTGGTTTGCACTGGGGGAAGGAAGGGGGCATTGCTACTCTATTAGAAAGCAAAACTAATCATTTTGCCTTTTCTCCTTATTCTTCATTTCATCATTCTTCACTGTAGCTTACATTCTGCTGTAAACTTATTAACTGTTCAACTATTGAATTCATTTCCGATACTTATTTGTAAGACTTCAATGTAGTCATGGAATATATGAAGGGCTAAACTCTCCCACCAAAAGTGCTAGTTGTTTAGATGTATTGCATAGGAGAAATATACATAATGTCATGATACAAACAAGTCATTGGAAGCTTTGGATGCTTGTAGATTTGCTAATACAATGTGGCAGCAACACCTTCAGTAGAAAGCAATACAAAATGGGATTTAAAAATATCGTAAGGCAATTCTGAAATTTCTATATTGGGGTCAGGGGGTTTTAAACTATGGAGACTGACATTTAAAAATCAAATATTTCAGGCAAAACACTGTTTTCATTTCAGTTTATGCACCTCTCATGCTTAAAACCCAATTTTATCATCTCCTGTCTGAATTCCTGTTAGAATTAGCTGACTTATATATTTTGGGCTCAGACACGAATGTGATCATAAATCATATACTTGACAAATCGAAGCTGATGGAGATGAACAGCCAGTCACATACATCTACGGCCCTGAAAAATTGTATGTCTGAGCTCAGTGTGGTGATTGCAATGTATTTATGATCACTAAACCAAAGAATTTACTTTTCCCCTTGCACCATTCTTTCAATAAATGCCAAAAAGGCTTCTGATCAGTTTGAGTGAGAGAATCTATGGTTTGGTCTAGATTTTATGAACTTGAGATCAGAGTTTCATTAATGTGGTAAAAATTTAATATGCTTAAACTTGGGCAACAAGTGTCCATACAGACTTTCAAAATTTGATTTACAGTAGCTCTTAGGCACTGTATATTGTGCCTTAGCTTCACACTAAGGCTATGTTATGTATTCTGTAACTATAATTTTAAAATAAACTCCTGTATAATAATAATAATAATAATAATAATAATAATAATAATAATAATAATAATAATAATAATAATTCCTTTCACCTATATAGCACTTTTCACTCCACTCAAACCGCTTTAGAGGTAATGGGGACTCCCCTCCTCCACCACCACCTGGAAGATGTGACGGGATCCATAGCTGGGGTGTGGGGTCACCACACCCCAGCTATCAGTGGGGAGGAGAACAAAGTGATATAGCCAATTCATAAATATTTTCTAGAAACGACCTGGGATTTTTAATGACCACAGAGAGTCAGGACCTTGGTTTTATGTCTGATCCAAAGGACAGCGCCTTTGTACAGTGTAGTGTTAACATCAGTATACTGGCATATTAGGACCCACACAGACTGCAAGGTGAGCGCCCCCCACTGGCACCACTAACACCCCTTCCAGCAGCAACTTTCGTTTTTCTCCACGAGGTCGCGCATCCATGTACTGACAAGACTCACACCTGCTTAGGCTTAATGTTGTACTCAGTTGTGAGCTGCATAGTGATATGGCCATTAAATACATAAGATGTACAGTATTCACATAAAATACATTTTATGCAAAAATGCATAAAATGTATTTTTAATTATTAAAAAGTACTAGTAATGTCAATACCCCAATGCAAGCCCCATTTCTCACTCTTGTATATGAAATTGCACTCCTGTGTACAACCCACTGAACCAATGGCATAGTTGCCTCTGTTAAGCACCGATTCTCACAATGCTTCTTTCTCAGGAAGGCAGCATTTGTTTCTTTAAAGCATTCACATTCAACAAAAACAGTGCATGCAGTTTTTTTAAAAACTGGCCAAACAAAAATGTTCAATTCAGACAAACTGCAGTTCTGCAATACTGATATCACAAAGTCTAAAACATTGAAGCTGATGAGCAAAATTTGAGAATAGAAAGACAAAAAAGTATTTTATACCAAATACTGAACAGAAGTTTACATATTGATTAAAAAATATGATGATTTGATTGATTTGGCCTCTGTACAGTAATAGTTGGTTTATATACAGTATTTTTAATTGCTGCAAGGCACACTGAAGGATGGAAAGATGGAAGCTCACTATTATGAGGATGCGGAAGGAGGTCGCTGGCAGCTGCTTATCCATTTTGCTGAGGAGGTCATAGCTGATGATGTTAATGAGTCCGGAGCTCAGGCTGTCTTTGCCTTTCACTATGACGTTGATGCGGTCTGCGTTCACAGAGGGCAGCCATCTCCGAAACGCCTGAAAGAATACAGAAAGGGCAGATGACGTTCAAAACTGAAGAAATTAATAGTTTGCATCAGACTTACCAAGATTAAGAAAACAGCTACCTTCCTACATTCAGCAGCTTTGAAATGTCCACTAGAAAAGCTCAGTTGGTGCAAAAGGCACTACACACAATAAGTCAGTCATGGTCATACTGAACCAAATCATGTGGGAGGTACATGACATTTGAAGTGGATGTTCAATTTTTAAACAAAAACGTGTGCAAGAAACTCAAAGGTCATTTTCTATAGAGGCTTAGATAAGAAACTATCACTTTATTAGCCAAAAACAATTTCTTGCATTAGGAATTTGTCTTTTTGCCATACTCCAACTTGCTCTCCATGAGACACAAAGGCACACAGACAGGGAGAGAAGCTTGGGGTCAGAACACAGGATCACCCATTTATACGCCGCCCCTGGAGCAGCTAGTATTAAGGGCCTTCCTCGGGGGCCCAACAGTGTAGAATTCCTCTGCCGGCCACGGCATTTGAACCGGCAACCTTCTAGCCACAGGCGCAGATCCTTAGCCACAGAGCCACCACTTATATATGATAGTGGGAGCTGAACAAAGTTCATTTTCTTGCTGTTAAGGTTATTTTAACTAATTTATTTGGCAAGGTTCCTGACAAGAGATCTCCCTTTACTTTTAAAATAAGCAGATTAGTATTGCAATTTCAATTTTAAACAGTTGGCTGCAACCTATTTTACTAATGTTTCTTTAGCCCAAAATACTAACCTTTGGTGTCTAGCTTAATCTTCTCAAATATGTATAAAACAAGAAGGCACTGATCTCTGCCTTGTGCTAGTTGCTTAACTAATTTATATACCATGGAGTGAGTAATCTTCCCTTTTCACCAACAAGCAAAATTAAAGGTAAGCTTTCTGTCTTTTCCAGAATTGATCTAAGCTACAAAATAATATCATGACGCTGTTCAGAAAAGGAAAATCAGTAGAAAATAGTCTGATGCAGTCTACATGTGCATGCACAAGTTAATGTGAGATTTTTTTACAAAGATTTCAGATGATATTTGGCTTTCTATGAAAAATTCTGAATTAAACATTAAGATATATGAAACGGCATAAAAATTAGTTCAATAAAGTAGCCATTATTATTTGTGACTGATTGGTTCTCTGTGTGTACTTACACTGTTGTGACAAAAGGCCAAACAGGGAAACTCGTTGCTCCACGCTTCAAAGCATTTCTTTCCATTTCCTTCAAATAATTACATCTTATTACTCATTCCCGATTCCCTTCCCTGCCTCTCCGATTTACACTCAAGACAACTGATGACTTTCATAGATGAAAGCACCTCTTATTAATATAAATGAACTTCTAAATCACATTATACAAAACTGAAATGCTCATAACTAGTAACTTTTAAACTGTTTGCAGGCAGTTCTCAGAAAGAAAACTTTTTAAATGTTGCATAATCAGAGAGCTTATTGTTGATCTTTAGAAAAATGAGTAACTGACCTATTTGGTTAATGTGATCAGTTGCATATGTTTATGAGATCTGTCAAAAAAGCTAAATTGCGCTTATATAGTGCAACTTTAATATAATGCAGGTGTGACAAGACAAACCTACAGTATACACTTCTGTTATAAGCTACTTGCATTATTAATGGAACTAAGTAAGTGGAATTTACTGTACCTACAGTAGTTTCAGAACCCCTTTCTTTTTCTATATGAGTAAACAACGACTAAAGCATATGAACTATTAAAAGTGCATATTCCCCTTTTATTTTATTGAGTCTTTTAATAAGGTTACTGTAATGTACTTAAAGTTTCTGAATCTTTTTCAAATAGACTATTTAGTTTGCCAAAACTCCTGACAGCATTTTTTCAGTACATTTTTCTTGATACCGGTCAAATACAATGAATGAAGCTTTTCACTGTCTATCTGATGGCCTAAAAAAGGTCATCACTTGGTTAACATTTTCAAGAACTTAGTTCAGTTTGGCTACTGCTACTTTACAGGAATCATCGCCATGATACTCAATCTGTGACTTCATGTTCGTCATTTGATTCCCCACTGTTTACAGAATCTGCGATTTCTTCTTCCCGCGGGTGCTGCATAACTAGAGCTTCCACCCAGCCCAGTTCCTTAACCCATATTTTTTATTCTTTCATCCATGCACATCCGTTCCTCCTGGAACTCCACACTCATTGAATAAGCCATCTTTGATTTGCAACATTCAGCCCTTTTATGTAACAACCTGGTGGTATCCTCATCCTTGCAACTTGCCTCTTCAATTCAGCACCTGCTCTATATTTTGCAGGATACCAGAGTTATCAGAGATTGAGTAGGTTAATAAATCTCAGTATATTCGTTATCTCCACTAAAATGGTGCTGTTTAAAGCTGTAAACTGCTGTTGCGGGACACTGCAAGTGTTGATTACAAGAGTCCAATAACAAAACTAGAGCCAACATATTGTACCCACCTGTAGAGGTCTTGAGACTTTGCCATCTATACTGAAATAGAACATACTTGCCTTGGGGGACTTGAGAATTCCCACGATATATCCCAAATGGAGGTATAATGAGGAGCACCTGATCAAGGCTGTAATTTATATTAAGTATGGCTCATCAAAATCTATAGCTTATCCATTTCAAAAGGATATGTGGTTTTGTGTAGTATACCTCTGCCCAGGTGAAACGCACAGACGAGGGGGCCACTATCAGCAGGGGCCACTCCTTCTTGTAGTATGCTGCTATACAAATAGCCTGTACAGTCTTCCCCAAGCCCATGTCGTCAGCCAGGAGCAGGCGGCCTTCCCTTGATATTGCAAAGCTGCAGGAGACAAACAGCTGCTGTCATACACCTGTTCTTACACTTCAAAACATACTGTACATGTCTGGATTCAATGATATTCCTGATCAAAACTAATGCTGTCATAGTTATTCTAGAAAATGCACATCTCAGCCAGGTAACTCAACAAAGAACCAATCCATGACACAAACCCTGGTTTCTCTAATATGTCAGCTTCATAGAAACCATGGGGAGTCCATACAAGGACTGGTTTGAAAAGATAAAGTAAAAATTGAGACATTCCCCTAGTTTTCCACACTCTTCTCACAGCTGAAAAATCATTTTGATTAGATTTTGACATCTATTTAACTGGATAAGTCAGCAAAGACCATTTTTTATTTATAATGTTGTATTATAGATTGTTAGACCCAGGCATAACACAAAAACCTCAGGAGATGTAAACTAGAATCTAAACATGCAAAAATGAAAAAAATATGAGTTGAAGCATTTTGAGATAAGTGAGGTGAAAGGTCCAAAACTACCACTTTCATAACTATTCTTTTAACACAACTACAATATTTTAACAACTCTGTCTTGGCATTTTAACACAATATCACCCTTCTACATTTATCAGTGATGAGAGTATGAATGTCTAATAGTAGCAATGGGCATACAAAATGGGCTGATTTTGTCTCCTTAATAGTTGGTTATTCATATTTTCTCCCATGGACAAATAATTACAAAAGAAAATGGTTAAAATCAGAATGGCTGAGGTCATATACGGGCACCATTTCACTGATTTCATAAGCAGTGACCATTACAGCATTGATAAACAAAAAGCAAACCAATGAAAGAAAGAAAAAGAACAATCAACACAATGTAACTAACATAACAGGACATAACAGAGCAGAACATGGCAGTGTTAAGTTCAAACAGCGGGCCGAAAAGAATAAAACTGAAAATGACTTCAGATACCAAGATGGATACTTTTAGCTTACTCTGCAGATTCGTCCAATCAATTACTTTGTAAATTATACTAATGTAAATACGTATTACATTTGTATATGACAAGCAGACACTGTGACTTTATACAGTAAAATTATACAGTAAAGAAACTTCAGAATTTTGGAGCCAGAAGAAAAATCCTGCAAAACATATTTCTGAATTAGAACTTCCATTGAGTCGACACAAAGTCTGAAATAAACACCCCATCATTCTCCCTTAATCAAAGGGAGTTAAGACAACAGGAGAAGAAGTATTTTTTCCCCTTGGCTCTTGCTTTAAAAGATGGTTAAAAAGCTGCAACTCTGAACCTACTTGACCCCCTCTCTCTGGAAGGGCATGAGGCTACGTGTCAGGCTAGAGTCGACAGAAGACAAGTCCGCCTCAGGAATCTCTGGTAAGCTGGAAACACTCCGCTCAAACTGGGGGCTGAAGGTCTGCAGCACAGCGCGAGGCAGTGGCTCCACTTCCACAGCTGGAATTCTGGACAGGGTTTCCACTAGACACAGCAAAGAGACAGTCACTACCCACTGAGCCATTGCACTGCACACAGGCACTTCCCACTGCAAGGACACCAGAACAGAACTGGACTGCAACAGTTCACCCTTATGAATTCACCCCTATATCTATGAAGAGATGTGCACAGTTATGCTTTATGAAGACCATGTTAATTTCACACCTGTACAATAAATCAAATTTAACGTCAAATAAATCAATAAAACGTTAAAACACATGTCTTGGAACAACCATAGCTCTGCGGTAAATAAATGAGGGCATACAACAATGAAACAGGTTTGTAAACATTCTTCCAGGTTTCAGGTTAAATCCAAATCTGCTATCTACTAAGTAAAAATCAGAAAATTAAATTCTTGCAATCATCATGAATGCAAGTTTTTCATTTCATATGTACAAGTTGCCCGGGGTAAAGTGAGTGATATTTTTTTAACTAAAAAACAGAAAAAAGCTTGGATGCCACAAACGATTAGAGGAACAATCGTGTGGATGATTTTGCTGATTTTCCGCTACTCTGTACACCTGATTTACACCTCGGCATTTATGGATTACCATCAAACTGAAAATATATCAATAATGAAAAAGTAATCTAACATCAAGCTTAATACTATTTAACATATATTGAATTTTGAATGACATCTTTTTTTAAACTATTAATCACATTTGTTGATCCATTTCTTGTAGATGTAAAGTTTTAATCCACTTTCCTTAGGCAAGGGAAAGCAGATTAGTCCTTATGTGCAAAAGACTCCCTCCTCCCTCAACAGCTAAACTTTGTTTCCTTTAATTCAAAAAGTAGGAAGAGCATTCAGATATACTCACTTAGCTCCTTGTAATCCTCCAAGAGAAAATTCCACTTTCTGGTCTTCATGTCTAAAAAATTCAATATATAAGAAATAGTGCACACTGATATATGTGAAATGTATCATATGTATGATTATACATCATTGCTTCATAATTTAAACATAGCCCATTTCAACTTAAAATACAGATTCCACTTTGACATGTATTTTGATGTATGTATCATATATATATAATTGAGAATAATTTTGCAAATACTTTTTGAAGTGAATACAAAACTACTTCTGTCTGTACGTTCAACAATAGGAACTGCTTTAATTATGCAACGGAATGCTTTTGGATCTATCCCTTTTTAAACAAAACAAAGAAAATTAAGATTCCTGATATGGAAAAGAGTTTTAAAGCTACTGCATTCAATCAGTTGACGTTATAATTAGCATTATCTTTGACAAGTCACATATCAATACTTATATGTCAAAGGCAAAATGGAGTCCAGATACTGTACGATTAAGAATATCATTTATATGACACAGTAAGCAGCACAAACAACAAAAAAATGTCCTTTTAACACAAGGGATTGGCAACAGTGGGTAAATAACATGTATTGTTACCTTAGCAAGGGAGAAATTATGCAACAGATTCCAAAACTGACACCATTCAAGGGAACCTCATGTCATTTACAAGACAAAGAGGAATTTTAAATCTGACTTGATTGACTCCATTCATAAGCAATCAAGTGAAGACATATCCTTTCCAATCAGAAATATGTTTTAGCGATACCACAATAAATATCTCCTACAATAAGTCTCTAATGAAGAAGACTGCAGGTAAACATTGTTAAACATTTACAGTACAATATAAAAACTATATATAAATATAATATAACCAACTGCTGTCAAATATTAATTTGGAAATAAAATATTTTTATGAAGAATATACTTATGAAAGTCTTCAAATAGCAATTTCTTTCTTCCAGAACTTCTATTATCATGTTACAGTATAACTATTTAGGTCCAATGCACTGAGAGGGCATACTTCTAAATACTTCTAAATTCTAAATTCTAGACACACTTTTATAAGACATTATAATTGTTGATTTGAAATTACAATTTAATTTCCCTTCACACCTCTTAAGTACTCTTTAGTGATCATCAGAAACACAATATGTGCTTCTAAGCTTGTTATTCATAAGAAAGAAATGTTTTTTAGAAACATGTCCTTAACTGAAAAAGCTCAAGTTAAAAGAGCTGAGTGACACAAGGACAAGGCAGCTTTATTTCATGATTTTTTTAAAAGTGCAGCAGCAGGAGCCCCTGCCATTCTTACCGTAGCTTTTGGAACGAATCTGCTTGAAGGCAGCAATGACATCCACCTGGTAGCCTACCTCCACCTCAAAGCGAGTGCGCGACACCAGCACACAATGGCCCCGAGTTGTGGCACCAGGCTTCTGCCAGTTGCTGCATAACTTCAGGAGGGCGCCCAGGGCAGCAGCATCTCTTGACTTGCCCACTGCTGCCTTGACATCCACATTTTCCATTCCTTCGAGGGGTGTTAGCGCCACAAAGGGAAGCTTGTTCACCTCCTCCACTGCACAGAGGACAGCTCAGTTCAGCATTAGCACATTCACCAAGAAGTAAGACAACAAAACCCTGGGTTAAAAACCCTTGATATCAATAGCAAGGATTAATACTCACTCAAATTAGTGTAGTCTTCCAGGTTAAAATTCCACATCTTTGTTGCTGGATCTACCAGGAGCAAAATAACGAATATGAGATTTTGAATTAAAATTTTTAAAATGTGTTTCTGAGAGCATTACTGGAGCTTTTTGTCCTCCTGCTGTAGTCTAGATAACCCTTATGTATGTTAGGGAGTATGTGTCTCACATCCTTATGCAAAACAATAGATTTATGCAGCAAAAACACACTGCAGCAATGGCAATAAACTGTATTCAAATCGTTCACCATTTTGTGGGCTCTAAATTTAAAAAAACTATTTTTTATTTTCTGTGAAACAAATATAAAGCACACCAAAGCATACTAAAATTACAACATTGCCATTAAACGCGTCTTTTTTTAACCACAGAAACCAAATCAAGCAAAAACACTACTGTACTAGACTCTACAGTACATTCTCTAGGAGTGCATTCATGGAGAAAATGTATGAACATTAAAATGATGATAATAAGTACACAATGCAAAACCGAAAACAATCTATAATACGGATCTATTCTACACCAGAATACCCCTGCTTACCATAATTCCTGGAGGACATGCTCTTGAACACCATGATGAGGTCTGCATTATAGCTCACTTCTACTCGAAATCGCTCAGATGTGTGTGCAACACACTTTCCTTTCACCAGACAGGCAGGTTTCTTTGTAGCCATAGTGCTTGCATTGTCTTTAATGGTAGCAGAAATTTGCTCAGAGCTGAGGACAATTTCTTTCAGTTTCACCCCTGTCCCATAAAACTTGGTCGCTTGTGTGCCTGAGCCAGCTGCTTCCTGTGCTGCCATCTCAGTCTTCGTTTCAATGGAATTAAGGGCTGTAGAGGACTCCTCCTTGGAGTCCATTTTGTTGAGAGCATTTAACTTTGAGATGCCATTACCTTTTATTTGGGAAGCCTGAAAGAAGTAAAACAGTTAGACATAAGAAAAAAACACTATCTTTCACTTACCATCTTTCAATACCTGTACCTATTGAGAAAACTGATAGATAACTAAAGTGGCTCACTAATCCATCTTAATTGTAATCTTTGTCTCCAGAGAAGCCTCAATACTAATTTTTTTACTTCAGGACATTGCTGGCGATTTCTTTACTTCTTTCAATGAGTCAAAATTGTTCATTGCGGTCCCCAGATCATTCCTACTTTTGCCCAGTCTGCTTGATGTCAATAACAGCATGCTTCACAGGACATTAATTAAAGATAATTAAAGCTTTATCATTATTACAATCAACAGTATGCTTAATTACGAACTGTTTTCTTAAAAAAAAAACCACAAGATGAATTGAATCAAATTTATACACAGAAATATTAGTGTGCTGGTCATATATTCTAAGCCATACCTTTGACACATTACTGATTACTTCAGTCCATTAAATTGTCAGTTCTTATAGACAATGCCAAAATCATTTTGATCTAGAAATACAGGAGAGTGGGGCTGCGAGAATTAAAATGACAAGATCCTAAGACAAAAAAAAAGGAGGATATCTTTGTTATACATTTACCCAAGGTGCTTGTAGTGTCTCTCTGCTTGCCTTTTCCTCTGTTCCTTGCAGTGCACTGTGGCCTCCCACATTAGTCTGTGGGAGACTGGCAGTCTGTTTCAGTAGCTTTGGTGGGTTAGCACCTGACCCTATAGCTGGACCTTTGGATTGTGCAGGGACACAAGGGTCACTCTGTCCAGTTGGAGGGCCATAGTGCTTCTGTTGTGACTGGGCTAGTCTCTCAGCTCTCCTTGCCAGAGCTCGCTGTCGATTCTCCTCTATCCTCCTCTGCTGCTCGTCTGTCAGACAGTCTGACATTGCAGGTGTCATATGGATCCAAAACTACTCTATTTAAAACCAAACATAAAGATTGTACATCAGTGACTTTTAATTCTGAGAATCTTATATGAACAGCATGGCACCAGTTACAATCTAAAGAAACTCCATAAACTGTAACTTAATTTCACCATTAAACGATTAACTCTAGTTGTGTTACTTTAATCTACTGTACCATTTCATTCCTAAAGAACGTACAGTAAATAACAATCAGATTCGTTTGTATCCTACAGTAAATGCAAACATCTGCTCTGTGTCATTTTATACAGTATACTGTGACAGTCTTACTAGCTATATAAAAAACAGATTCTAAGAACGTACCGATGATCTCTTAATCCGTTAATTTACTAATTGATAAGAATTAAATTGAAAGATGAATCAGCCCACCACGATGTCACTCTAGCTGAAAGCTCACAATTACCTTTCAATGGGAAAAACACTAGAGATTAATAATTTCTAATTACGTCAAATGCATCTGAGGGATCAACATACCCCAAGGAGTTTTATTAAAATAAATGTGATCACAGTGACTTGGCGTTATATTAAAATAAATATACTCAGAAGTTCCGTTTGTTTTAGTTTTTTTTTGCATTTATCAAAAACCTGATAGATAACGTAATTGCTTAACTTTGTACAAAATCTGCGCTGGAACTTATTTACAATAAGTATTAGAAAAATATTTTTTCTAAAATATCTTCCATGTACAGCAGCTCTCACTGTAGGCTACAGAAGACAAATGTAAACAGTCACAATTTATACCTGCCAAAAGGCATACGAACGTTAATTGACTAAAAATTGACTATATTATAAAGATCGTTACACACAAACAAAATAAAAAATGTACTAAAGCTTATTGATGGGAGTCCACAACAGAACGCTAGAAAACTTGTTTTCAAAATGTATTCAATAAAAAAAACGTGCTTACAAAAACCCGGAATCCAATCATTTTTAAACTTGGCGCCTTGATCGACAGACATTCTGTGAACTATACAATCATGCAAAATACAATCCCTTGTAATTCTGGAGTTTAAATTAATGTCTATACCTCAATATTTGGGCGAAGCCATTGTGACTAAATTTAAGTCAATGCTACACCGTAAAAGCTAAACACCAAATTTCGCCATACCACTCCAGTACGAGAAAACAGGATGAGGCGTATCCAGAAAACAGCTGCATCGCATAATTGGCACATATTGCAGCCAATAGAAAGAAAGGGTTTAAATGAACTTTATTTATAATGACAACTACGTATACTGTTCGACAAAATGTTAACCTACAGCGTGCTTTAAAATGTACGGAAAGCAAAACGGTTTGATCATTGGCTTTTACACTTACAGCACAATGCTAACATAGTGTCTAAAGCAGACCTTATATTTATAATTCCAAAATGGTAAGAATTCGGTCGTACTGTTTATGACAGCCCATAAAGCAATAGCTTTACCTTCTCCCTTTATTCGATGTGTACGTTAAACTTGAAAAACGCGACTATTGTTCATTAAGGCAGAACATTTTATTACAATTTTAAAAGCCTCATCACAGTAAATCAGATTGTAGTATTAACCGTCAAATATTATTCTCCACGACCTCGATGAAAGTTTTGAATATAATTCTATCAAAATGGGCGTTCATTTCTAATTATGAAATCAATGTAGAATGCCTAGAAGGAGCCGCTGAGATGTTTTCACAGTTCAGATGGTCTTTCGCGTTTGAATTCTTGCATGAAAAACTAGTACAATAGACCATATTTTGAATCCAACTGCGCTTAAATCCATACATATTTTTATAGTTTTATTTAGTGCGTCATCTGTTTAATTAATATACAATATACGACATACAGGATACATACACATTTAACTGACGTATTAAAGATCCCTCTACCATTTAAAACTTTGTGATTTTATCATACTGGCGTGCTAAAAAGGCTTAGGACAAGTTGTTACGAAGCTAACATGCTAAAACCGTTCTCTCTTGGTGCTTGAAGTGTATGGAGATTCTCAAACCCCTTACCAATATTAATAAAATTTATTATTAAATATTATTATAATAATATTATATGTATTAGATAAATGTATGTGTATGGAGTGGGGTGGCGCTGGGGGAGGGTATAATACAGGCAGGGGCTGCCACTAAGTTTGTATTATTTGAGATCGCAGGCCCATTTGAACCTCAGTCTTATCCTGTGTACAATTCGCCAGAGTGCTGAAGTTAACGTGAAGTTATACTGTAATCCTGACTCTTGGCTATCAGGAGGATATAATGCATGATAGCTCAATGTGAAACGTTATGCAGATAGCCGCCACTGTATTGATATGACTTCATTGGATATTCTGGGATGTCAAGCCGAATTCTTGGGAATTCACTTTGTCAGCTGACAGATCACATTAGTCGCTAAATAGCGATCCTAACAATATCTTGCAGGCACAAAAGGAGACAGCTATTTCCTAATATAATGAGGTATAATTCAACCTAATAATAATAACAGTGGTGATTTCTTTTTATACTGTCCCCATAATTTCTGTATTTTTGCAACATTGATTCATACAACTATAGGGCAAAATGTAAATGGCTACGTGAAGACAGAAACTGCTTTCTACATTATTATAATTACCGTTGGACACAGTTTTATTTAAAATCGACCCTGCTTATATTGGCATCACAGAATTAAGGTACAGATTATGATGCTTAGAAAACAATCTGAGGGATACTAATGAGTTGCAGTATTACTTTATTGACAATTTTCTAAATAAAATGTTCAGAGTTGATCATAATCATCCTATTTTTTTTTACGTAGTTACATATATAGTTGCCTGTATTGGTGCTCTGATATTTATGAGCTATTAATTATCTTAACTTTGCATACAACATAACAACTTATTTGCTTTAGTTAGATACTTAATATGTTTAGAAATTGCAACTGCCGTTTTGCTGTCCACATAATGATATAGGGTGTTTGTTAGGTATGTCACATTTTAGTATGGGTGTAATGCTGCTTAATATATGCATTCAAACTAATACAGCGCGGGCTGCATGGAGGATATCGATCAGGTTTTGAAATGTATTTTTAGTCTGTCACGACATCCCGGTGCAGTTCATTCATGTTTTATAACAACAATGATGGAAGTTTTTAACGTAGCTCTTTATCAGCATAACAGTTCCACCAACAAATACACTTTGCGCAGATTTTGAAAGCTCAATTTGGTTTTATGTATGTTACATTTTCTAACCTTTTCTGTCCCCAGCATATTAAAATACATGTCTGTCCGGTCCAAAACACAAGTTACCTGAGAAACACACTTCTTATCATAAATAATCCATATCTTTTGTTTTGTCTCTGGCTTCCATCACCAAAGCAAATACCTCCTCCATAGTCAATTCTCAGTTTTGTCGTGTGGTTCACTAATACAACATATATAAAAGAATACCTGTTCCAGAGGACTTACATCTAGACTATTTACTTGATTATGTTCTCTCCTTGATGTTAAGTGTCCTTTTAAGTGCTTTTTATTTGCTTCTTCAAGCCGAAATTTCCCCCATTCAAGCCCCCCCATTGCATCACCTCTCTGCTGTGTGACGCGGCCGTACTTGGGAGCTGTCCCAGGAATCATGGTGCTGAAACTGCAGCACCCGCCAGCTACCGCCAATAACAAACACCACACACATAACAGACTGGTCTTGGTTTTTCAGTCTTGCCTGAAAATTAACGGTATTCAGTCAACTGGATACACATGCAGTTTTTTGTTTTGTCTAGCATTTTAACGAATTCACAGAGGATGTTATGTTTAAAATGATCGACCACACTGGGATCCGACAACAACTCCGGGTCAACTGCAACGGACCTGGTTTATATTTTGTAACACTACAGGAATCAAAAGCGTGGACATATATTGGTGAAAGCAAGGTAAAACATAATTATGATCTAGGAAACAGCAAGAATAATAATATCGACCACTGGGTTCAAGGAAGGTAACGACTGAAAGAGAGGCGCAAACAATTGGCATTTCAGAACAGAATGGGACTGGGGCTCTTCTGGACACTGGTGACGGTAAGCGATCCCAGGCAAATCGGAAGGTTAACTATATAAAAATGATAAAAAATTATGAAAGAATGATCTTCCCGTCATAGTAACGGATGCTTATGAAAACGAACAGTTGTGTTTGTTGCGATCTTATTCAATCCTGCTACAGTAGGTTGGCATCTTTTAAAGACGTCTGCAAGAAAATGAGCGGTGATCAAATGGCAAGAGCTCCTTAGCACTTCTGGAATACAAATTAAAAATCATTGTTTAAAACAGATTGTGGAGTAATTCCGTTGTAAATACGCAACGAAACCTGCATTGGAATACAAAAATGGGACGATGCGTGTTTCTGACATCCAGACATGTTTAAATGGTTATGTGCTGAAAAAGACAAAGTACCTTGGGGAAAAGAGCTTTTTGGAGTGGCATTCTCATTTGGCATCAATTGCACTGCTGTTTTGATTATTTAGGTATATGGTTTCACGTCTAGGTTTTTATTATTATGCTTAGATTAACCACCGATTGTAAGTGTGGATTCTACGTATTTTATCTCACAACACACCACTAGTCTACCAGTTGGATATGATTTTTAAAAGTGAATGTAGCCTACGTGGCTCCTCCCCCACACCTTCCACGAAAAACTTAAAATACATATCTGTTTCCATCACTGATTCTGTTGTCTGAATGAAACCTCAGAATATTTTTACACTACACAACCGTGGTAACTTAGTCGGAAAAGTAACAGTTATTGGTGTAAAAGACTAAACTTTTAGTTTCATTTCGAATTAAGAACGTTGTTTAAATCCAAATAGTATGCCGTTCGAAAACAATTTAAACAAAACCAACCTATAACTGACAGGGAAAAAAAGTATCGGATTCGAAAAGATTTCTCACTCGAGATTTGGATTTGAGCTATTTAACGTGCATGGCACGTGTTCATCAAAACTAATCTAACTAAACTTGTATCCATAATTTTAAACAAGAAGTGCACATGTTGTTGGCGGTCGGTATCATTTTATGGTGCTGTGGATTGTTGAGTCACAGACAAATGCTGCGCCACCAGGGCTTGCTCAAGGGCCGCTGCTGCGTCTTGTTAAGTGACCTGAAGGTTTTCCTGCTCAGGCCACCCGCACCTTCGGCCCCGCCACCTTCCTTCCTCCCCATGAACAGCCGGGACACGGAAAGCCATGTGAATGGATTCCTTGGCGCCAGCAGCGTCGCGGACAACAACAACACGCTGACAAGTGTCCCAAGGGCAGAGGGCTGGACGGCACAGTCAGCAGGGGGAGCCACTGAACCGGAGGGGGAAGAAGAAGAGGACGAGAGAACGGAAGCCTGGGCTGGCACAGCGCCAGAGCAGTCGGTCTCCCTTGTGAGCAGCACCTCCTCCGATGATTTCTCCAAGGTGAAATCAGATGAGCGACTCTCTCTAGAAAGCTGCACCGACAGCGGCATCAGAACACCCGTATGCAGGATATGCTTTCAGGGACCGGAGCAGGTATGCCGGGGAAAGTGGGCGCAAAGCAACAGTATATCTACATGTGGTTACTGTTAAAAATGTCATGGGCAGTCTGAATATAATACCAAATTATATTGCATGTAGCACACAACAAAAAGCAATCAATTTCTATCGGAAAATGTTTTCTTGAGCATTTTGTCATATGTCATTCTGCCACTGAAAACATTGATTACTCTATTACTTGTACCGGCTTTTACTGTGGCCAAAACAGAAACAAATGCGTGAGAAACAATTGGATATCTGTTCAAAATATTGTTATAACCAGGTCCTTGTGGTGTTTAACACTTTCTTTAATAAATTGAAGTAGACTTACTGTACACTCTAAGGATAAAACTGCCTTAACATTTTCTCTGAATGGCCTTGAAACTTCATATCCCAGGTTCTGAGCAAGGCATTGTCCTTTGATAAGCCTCTGACTGAGATTCCTATATCTGAGAGAAGTCCATCAAGATCAATCATAGTGGTTATATGTTTACAATACTAAAAAGTGGAAGTAATAAGTCACACTGTCATAAAGTAAAATTACTATTTTGACTGATTGTTTTTCGTGTGGTGTGAATCTTATTTGGCTTATTTACCTTTCAGTTTAAATCTCTTAAGAAAATAATGGTGTCTATGTGAGCTTGATAAAGCAAAGCATAAATCTGAAACACTTGCAAAAGTAGAGGCTTCTGGCCTTTGGAAGCATACTTAGGATTTCACAGGATGTACTGTAATTGAAGTACACTAGCTTAATCTTTCTACAAAGGAAAATTTCATAAAGTGTAAAATGGGAGACTACTGTATATAATGTGTTATTCTGTGTTATAAGATAAAAGTACAGTAAATATTCCTAGCTTGTTTTTAGATAAACGAGAATTTAAAATTAAACTGCCCAAATAACCTTCTTTGGAACATATGGATTGATCCTGTCTTAAGTAAACTAAAGCACTTCAGTTGAATGGTCAAATACTTCACTCAGAATTATTTCCGAAAAGTATCACTTGGCATGTGTGCAGTATATCATCAACTCACTATTACAGAGTGTTTTGTATTCCCTCAAGGATTATATGTTTTAAACTGAAGAGTGGAACATTATACATTTTTGTAATAACATGAGAAATATTATTTGTTTTAATTCAAATGTATATGTATGGTTTGTCACTGAGAAAATTCTGTTACTATTGAATATTATTTCATTTTTACTTCCACTTTTATAGCTCCAATTACTTGGTTTGAATATAAACTACTTTGACTTAATGTAATTCTGACTGTAGGGTTGGCTGAGCTTTGATTTCAGATCCACACAAACAAATGAAAATTCAGAGCTTCACTCATCAGGATCATTTAATTCGTTCTCTTAACATGTCAGCAACTTTTGCAGCACTTGATAAAACATTTACATGGACTGAGAAACAGCATTTCATCATCAGTAGGTGTTTCAGTGGTAGACATTTCAACTTTTTTTTGCTTTGATGTTCAAAAGATTGATATTCCCAAATACCATAAAAATGAAGTTCTCAATAAATGTGACCTCAAGCTTTCCTCATAACAGCAGCCTCTCAGTGACCGAGGACTTTAACAAGAAGCACAAAAAATCACACTAAATAAGTAGTTATCAAGCTCTTTCACCTGTGTTATTAATATGTACCACAAGGGTGAGACCTGTATGCCACTACCTGAGTGCCATTCATATGAGGACGGCTATATACCTCTGAAAAACTATTGGTTTGATATAATCGAATAATGTACTGTATAAGACAGTAATTTTATAACATTAACTTACAATACTGCATGTATAGGAGACTTTACAATGATACTGGAATGTTTGGGACAATGAGTTAGAGAAATATATAACATCGAGTGGTACTGTACATATTAGGTTGGTGTGTTTGATATTAGGATGAGCTCCAATGTGAAATGTTATAACTAGCAGGCTTTAAAATGTAGTATCCTGACACCATTTTTAATAAATATAACAGGTAATTACAGTTAATACACACCTGCAGTCAGAAAAGATTACAAGGACTTTATAGCCACATGGCTTCTGGAACAGATTAATGATATAATAACAAATAAGACATATGTTTGAAATGCAAAGGTTTATTTAGAATAATTGCATGTTAAATATCAAGTGCATCAAGTAGTGTTATCTACAACAGGGGTACCAGATTCCTGGTATTTTTCAGTTGAAAGCTACCCTCCCTTGTCCCCTCAAAGATGGATTAACCTTATTGCATAAATAACTGAGGGAGGTTCTGATACATTTCTCTAAACCAAATAAAACATCCCAGAGATTCAAGAACTGCCGGCCCAAGTGCAGGTACTGAAATAAATATCTACTCAAATATTTTTAAAAAATAAAGTTCCTTTTCTTTCTAAATTTACTTCTCATTTCTTCAGTGCTCAAAAATCTATGTAAGGTTTCAGTCCTCAAAGAATAACCCTGAATTGTTGAAGTTAATTTGTGGCACTGTTGCTTTGGAAATTTTTGAGATAGAGAGAAATATGTCAGTCCTCTGATATACTCAGTTCATCTCTTAAATGTTCATTAACCTCTTTGCTTGCTACTTGGTTACTATATTTTGGCATTATTCACATACAGTACCTTTTTCTATCTACCACTTCAAGAGAAGAAGTTCAATATAGAGTCTACAGCTAAACTGAATCATTAAATTTTAACCAATTATGGCACAAGAAGCAGATTCTTAAAGCTCCTGCTGAGTCTGATAGGAAGTGAATTTGTTGATTGGTAAAGCTCTGTTCACATAAGCCCCTAAAAAAGGCTTTTCAAAGTTTCACTAAACCCTCTATATGAAAATATCATTCTTAACCTTGATATTGGTTTGCTTATATACAAGAATAGTTTAACATTCAAAGTGCAATTTGATTTCAGAAACCAATTAACAAAGAAAATACAGTATGTGCCTGGATCTCACCGTGTTATCCAGATATACCTGTACTGTCTTTTTTTTTGAGAACTTGTGTAGTATGATTGTTTGATTTTTTTTTTGTTTTTCAAGAAGTTATTAAAACTGATCTACTTGGAAGTTGTTTTGTCCTGATGTTCATGTGTATTTAATGTAAGTTTGTTTCAATTAATGCACTCAAGTTATATTACTTTGTGGCTTCAAAACCAATTTTGTATTTTAACAATAGCAGGAAATAATATCTGAAATCATGGCAATGTTTTAAAAAAATATTTCCCTAGGCTGTTAAGAGAATCACTTCCTACCATTTCTTCCAACAAAATCTCTGAGTTACCAATTATAAGTATTGCAGGTATTCTTCAGTTTGCAAGATTTATTATCTAAGTCAAGTTTATTAATTTCCCCCAAGAAAAACAAAATCCAAATAATTGTCTTTTACAGCTTTATTTATGGAAACAATCAATTATTTTTGGATGGAGTGGCTCAAGTTATATACTGTTTAAAACATACATGAAACAAGAGTATGACTGTAATGAGTTCTACAGAAAAAAAAGACTATCTTCAGAGCCAACTGATAATATTGAATGTAAAATGCTCTTCAGGAACAATTAACTCATTGACATATACAATTAAGAAGAGAATGTACATCCAGCATGGATGTGCATCTTCTGAGTTTTCAAACACTATATTAGCCAGGTACAGTAATTGTATGACAAATGAGTGGAAATTTTCAACTCAATCTAGTGGGTTTTGTGGTGTGCCTTGTCCTATATTTTTTTGCTGCAATTCCAATTCCAAAGCCAGTTCATTCTAGCTTTACAGGTCAGACAGCAAAATATATGTTTTTAATGTAACTGTCACTCGGTGAGCTTCATATTAAAAGGGTATTTAGTCAAACTTGGACTGTTAATATAAAACACTGCGGAGCAAATCAAGCTTTAGCTCTTTCAAAATCCACATACTATACAGTAGACCCACCCCCACACCTAGTTTATTGAGGGAGGTTATGTTACTTTCTTTGTGGCTTAAAAGCCATTAAATGAAATTAAAATTAGATTCTATAAAAATCATAAATCAGCTCTAACTATAGAAAGTATTTGCATACTGAGAGCATTGCTAAGAGTATTGCCTGTATCAGGGATTCCCAATCCTAGACCTGGAAGACTGGTGTATGTACAAAGTTAGTTAGTGCAAAGAGTTCAGGAATGCCGTATAGAAACCTATGCCCTCAGGTAGCGGACGTGGGGCGACCTGGTGCTAGACGGGTCTCGAACATCAATGCTGAGCAAGGGCAGAGTGAAAGACCCGGAAATATATAGCCCAAGGGAAAGAGAGGGACCGGAAGGACAGCAAGCAGGAAACTAGGGACAGGACAGAAAAGGAGCACCCTCTGGCTGCAGAGGGTGTGACAATATTAGCCTCAGACTGCGCTTGAAAGAAGAAGTCCCTTAGTGAGTTCTGTGTACTTTCAAGTGGAAAAGCAAGGCACCATGAACACCAGTAATCACAGGAAAATAGATCAAAAGGAATTAAGTGAAGAATGCACTTCTGCCTACGAGTGGGACCTGTGGCAGCAGAATTGGAGGACTAATAACAAATCATATAAGCCATTCCTTTAGGTCATTTTGAATCACAAAGACAAAAGTAAAAGTCTTAGTGAGTGACCCCCTTTATTGTCATATGCCCTTGGGCCCAAATAACAATTTAAAACATTTTTGGCCTTACTCGCTACTAAATTAGTAGAATTGTTAAAAAACACTTTCACTGATACCCTGTCTCATTTTGAAATTCAGGAGTCTTTCTATCGGGGTAACATGAGTAAAAGTTGTATTCCTCTTGAGAACGATAAAATGCTACTGTATGGTCAGTCCTAGTCTATCAGTGTTTCTAGCCCAGTTTTAGTGAGGGATATGTCTTAGGATTGCAGCACTATGATAGGCTATGACAGATAACAGAATAACTGGTGTCAGAGCTGACAGCTGCCTCTGAAAGGGTATCGTGTTTCTCTCATATTACACATAGGCCTCTGAGACCGAGATTTATAACAGTTTTTGGATTAATATAAGAACC